GTGATTCTTACCCGCGTGATTCTAACCCGCGTGATTCAAACCCGTGTGATTCTTACCCGTGTGATTCTAACCCGTGTGATTCTTACCTGTGTGATTCTTACCCGTGTGATTCTAACCCGTGTGATTCTTACCTGTGTGTCTTACACATGGCCTCCGGTCTCCAGATGAAGCGTCCGTCTCTATAAGCGCAGACGGCGTCCGGGTCATCATCAGGGAGCAAAGGAAACCTTGAGAAGAGCAGCTGATTGGCCGGGCTGTGGACCAGCACAGAGTACTGCACTTCCTGTTTGTACAGCGAGGTCTTGAACACCCTCATGATGGGCGGAGCTCCGGAGCAAAACTGGAGATGATAGAAGCAGAAGACTCCAGCTGTTACACGCCTGCAGTCACTAACCTGGTGTGGTGGATTTGTGCACAGCTGTGGTTTTACAGTTTCCACTCATCACGGGCACAGCTCCTTCTGGACTTCTTTTCACGGGGTGGACGATCGTACAGCAGACGAGAGCAGGGTGCACATGTTTGAATTTATTTTAGATTTTCTCCGACCCACACGGGGTCAGACGAGTGCTGAGGTTTGAGAGCTTCACCTTCAGCTTTCACCGCTGTGGCCAAACGGCTCGGTCTGTGTTGTCTCACCATCGACTTGGTTGTTAATAACCCCTGAGACAGGACGGTGCATGCGGACATGAAGGGCACCAGAGGAACAAAGGTAGTTTACCTGAGCTCTGAACACATTTCTTTCAAGGGTCAACGATCTCACCAGCGGCACATCTTAACATTAACATCACAGCCACAGCACATGTCAACAGAAAATCCCCCGGTGGATCGAAACCTCCTTGAATAGATGCAGACCACACCACCAGAAAGTCCACCTACAAATCAACATGTACAGTGAGCTGCAGCGGTTAACACACGCCACATACATCTGACTACAAAGCAGTTAAATAAGATACAAACTAACTAAATCAATTCAAACTACAGACTCAGATTGCTCCCCCCTCAGCTCTCATCCAATGGTTTATCCCACTGACGGTGGATAATTAGGGAATTCCCTCATCATGTGCACTCCAGCAATCTAGCCTTCAGGAAGTTGGCCTCAAAAGACAGAGTGGTTAGTGGACTTCAAAATAAAAGCACCCAGCACCCTCACATTTCAGCAGCACTCATTAAAGACTCAGCTGAGTGATGCGTACTCCTCATCCTGTGTGGATCAGAGATGATTTGTTTGTTAATGTCATTAAAGACGTCTGCTGCACAGTCGCCACCCTGTGAAAGAAGAAATCCTTCACAGCCCAAAATGACCTGACATCCACGACGTGATGATGGAAGCTGCTGCCAGCAGCTGCGTGCCTCGGTTTACCGTCTCTGTTTTTGAATCTTTCTTACATGTTTCTGTGTCTTTGTCATGAACTTGAATGATTTGGTGCCACAAAATTGAACTGACTGAGTTTTCTTTGACACAGTGTTGTGTCTTCCTGTGGTTCCATTAATCTGAACTCGTGTTCATGCTGAGTCTGTTTAGTCTTTCTGCTTTACTCTCTCACTGAACTGTTGGGCCCGTGTGCTGACAGAGGAGTACCTGCTCGCTGTAGGCGGTCAGCACCTCCTGCAGGGGGAAGGTGAAGCGGTACGAGCCCAGCCTGGACTTCTCGCCGAAGGCCGGAGAGGAGGCGAACCTCCACAGGAAGCTCCGCTGCCTCGCAGCCTGCTCCTCCGTCCGGTTTGGGTGGGTCTCCTCTAGCAGCCTCGTCTCGGCCTCCTGGATCTCCTCGGGTCCCACAGCCAGACTCCACCACACCAGGACCTGCCTGTGAGGATCCCCGAAGCCGTCGTCCACCCTGATGCAACATAAGCCCCGTCGCTCCGTGTCGTGTTTGACACGGCTCACGTGGAACTCGGGTCGGGGGTACGCAGGGATGTCTTCACTGAAGACGTACTGGTTCTCCAACCCATACCTTTGAACTTCCTGTTTCAGATGATTCAGCCTGGAGTGCTTACAGTACAGGAAGTGCTCTAAACGTCCTCTCCTGTTTCTCTGTGTCCGCATGACCACAGGTCCATCCGAGTCTCTGTGGTGGAGGTGTTCCTGCAGACGCTCACGTCTGTCTCTCTGCTCCAACGAACGCTGCGAAGCACAAAACGTCATCATCAGCGTCAAACTGAGGATTAGACGAGTCTGAGAAGCTCGGCTGAGTCACAAATCAGCAGCTGGACTGGCGGTCGCACCTCTGCGGTGGTTTGGAGTACTGCAAAGTCATTTCCTGCCTGGTTGCAGTGTGTCCTACTCTCAGTGATCTCGCTGCTAACAGGTGCTTCTGTGTGTTTGTACGCACGATGTCTCACTTCCTGTCTCGTTGTTTATCCCCTTGTTGGTGTCTTTGAGCCTTTTTCCGTCTCCGTGTCCCTGCAGTGTCTCTGTCTCTTTCTCTTTTTCTTTTATCATCGTCGTTTGCTCTTTTCCATCATACCGAGTCTCTGCGTGGACTGTGTGTTGCTGGTGCTTTGTGTGTCCATGTTTGCTCTTTTTGTTCCTCGTTTCTGTGCTTTCACACACTTTTGTGTGTCTGTTTATTCTCAGTTACTCTTTGTGTTGTTGTGTTCAGTGTTTGTTCTTTGTCAGTCAGTTACTTTGCAGTGAATCTGTCGTGTTTCTATCATAAACACATTTTCTTTACCTCCATGAAGCACAGCAGCAGGGCAGGCCCGCCCCTTCAGTCCTCCGGCAGGTGGCGTGTTGGTGCCACAGCCGGCATGCGTCACGGGGGACGAGTTTTCCTGCTGTTCTTTCAGAGTCTCAGCGGATCCACGGAGTCAGCCCTGCGTGTCCGGCTCGGTTTAAAATCCTCTCAGCGGTTCCCGGACACACCGCACATGCGCAGTAAACTTCCTGCAGCTGTCACAGCTGGAGTGTGACAGCTCGGTCCGGCTGTCACCTGAAGACTCCACGGTGCCGTGTCAGCTGCGCCTGTGGGCGTGGCCGGCTGCGATATGAACTCTGACCTGTAAACAGGCAGAAAACAGCTGATGGCGCCGAGGAAACATGCTGTCACGTGACTATTCACCCCGCGTGAGGCGCCCCCTGCTGCAGAGGCAGGAACCTCACACACACACACACACACACACACACACACACACACACACACACACACTAATAAAAATGTGAATGCATCGTGGTCAAATGACGTCACATACTAGACACCTGTAGCAGTGAGCGACCAGCTGTTCCCATCAGTGCTGACGCAGTGACGCAGTGATGTCATCTAACTGCTTTGTTTAATAAAGATTTAAAGACCTGCCGCTGTTTTTACACGCTTTAGGTTAAAGACTTTTATTTTGAAAGATGTAATCAACGGAAGTTATTAAAGTTGTCAGCAAAGGAGCCCTGCCACTTCCGGTTAGATTAATCATTAAACTAAGTTAAATAGCACGTATGAAGTGTGTGTGACGTTAAACAGCGCGAGGAGCTTTAGGTGAGGCGTGGAGCTGGAAAACTCTTTGTCCGGTTTAAAGCTCGTTTCCGGTCCCAGCTGCTGTCAGCCACGTCAGAGCACCTGTTCAGGTAAGACAGCCCCAGAACTCTGTCAAAGTTTAAAACTGATGTCCTCTGCTTGGATCAGCACTCATGCGGCACACCAGACTCCGTTTAAAAAACGTCACGTTTTAAAATCCACACTCGGTAACACTGATCAACCGTGGACTCGGATGTTTCTCTGCAGACCAGACTCCGTTTAAAAAACGTCACATTTTACGGTACCTGAACCAGTGGCAGAGACTGATGCTGGCTTCCTGACCTTCTCTGCAGTTCTGTATACACACTGCACCAAACTCCATTTAAATTCTTCTCATTTTTAATACCCGCCTCAGTAACACACGCTGATATTTGCCTGAAGAATATTTTCTTCTTCCTGCTCCTTTTCACACATGGTTGTAGTGCTTTTTGATTGAAAGTGTGGTTGGTTTGTTTGAATTGTTGTACCAAGTGTGAAATAAATAAGTAAATGAAATGAAAAGGACACAAACAGCGCACGAAACCACTGAAATATCTTTTGAAGTTAACTGATGTTGTAGCACCGCAGTGCAAAAATCCCTCGTTGGAAGTAATCGATACGTGTCACAGCTTTAAAAATGTCACAGACTAAAACATGTTTGGATTACAACCACAAACTCTGGAGCAATAGAAACGAATCCTAAAGACGAGCTCGTTTCCATCCTTTGCAGGTGGTGTTAGTCTCACCTGTCTGAGGCTCGAAGCTCTCCTGTCTCCAGGATGCTCCAGGGGCCGTACGGTGACCCGGACCAGGGCCGGCTCCTCATCCGGCTGCCCTTCAAGATCTTCGCGGTGGTGACGGTTCTGCTGCCGGCGACCGGCTTCATCGCCTGCATCATCGTCTCCCTCATCTACCACTACGAGGACACGACGCACGCACACTGTAAGGTAAATGTGGAAGCACGCAGACGCCAGCAGGAAGCACGTTTCTCTGCACAGACGTTAAAGAAGATCAGTCAAAGTGTCTTTTATTTTGAAATTAGAAGCAGTAAAACATTCTAAATGTCTGTAATTCTTCATGAAACAGACAAAATGATGTCACTTCCACCTGGCGAGGGTCGTGACCTTTGTATCACCTTTGAATTGTAGTGTGGTGTTTGGTTTTAGTCGTCTCTTTAACCGGCAGCGTTTATGTTTGACCTTCAGTTAAGTCAGTTTGATTTGCACGGCGCCGAATCACAGCAGCAGTCGCCGCAGCGCTTTAAATCATCAGGACGTACAATAAGACAAAGACGACCGAGGAAACCCAGCAATCATAATCTCATCTGTATAGTGATAATGAAGGCATTCTATTCTATTCTATTCTATTCTGTATGACCCCCTGTGAGCAGCACTTTGGCGACAGTGGGAAGGAAAAACTCCCTTTTAACAGGAAGAAACCTCAGACAGAACCAGGCTTAGAGAGGGGCGGGGCCTGTCAAGGAAATCTGGGCTTTAAACGCGTGTTAAACGTTCAGCACTTCCTGTTTTTAACGGCGTGCAGTAGCAGGAGAGGCGTTCAGGGCGGAGTGACTTTCAGAGTTTCTTCTTCCAGGTATCCAACTACCTCCCGTCCATCAGCTCCTCCGTCGCCCACGTGCCGGAGCGCTACATTTGGCGTGTCTGCATCGGGCTGCACTCGGCGCCGCGGTACCTGATGTCCTTCGCGTACTTCAGCTTCTACCGTGGGCGCTTTAGCGGTCGGGAGCGGCTGCTGAGCGGGCTGGCGCTCCTCTGCAGCCTCGCCGAGAACACCGGCCTGCTGCTGCTCACATACGTGTCGTCCAAAGAAAACCACCGTGAGTACGCGGCGGTCGGCTGACCGTGAGCGTCACACGTCTCTAATCTGAAACGTTGATGACTGTCTGTCTCCGCAGGTTTCCATGACAATGGGTTCAGAGTGTTCGCAGGGAGCTCGCTGGTGCACATGCTCATTACATGCCGGCTGTGGTACGTGATCAAGAGAAGCTTCGAGAGCGCAGAGGTAACTCGACCGCCGTCGGGTCCTGTGTGTCACCAGGAACAGAGATAACGCAGCTGTGCATCCGTCACACGACGATTAAATCTGTGAACGTTGGAGTAACGTTACCAACGTCACTTTAACTTCATCGCTCTCCTTTTATTATTTAATTGTAAACGATCTGCGGAGCTGTTAATCCCACGCTGTGTCCTTCTCAGGAGGACGTATCCTATCGTCGGAAGCTGCGTCTCTTCGTTTTAAACGCCGCCTGTTGTTTGGCTTCCTGCTTACTCTACAAACGCCACAACGACCGCTGTGAACCTGGAGGTAAGTCTGACTCGGTCACGTTTATAACCGGGTTCAGAGGGACTTCTGTCTGCAGGACGGTGCTGGTCTCTGAGACCGGAGGGAGCGCAGTCCTCAGCCTGTGTCAGGCCGGGCTGCTCGGCGTGTTAGTTTGGGGTTTGTTAGGATCACAGGAGGCCTTTGCTGGGTTCCTCCGGGTGTCCTGTGGGTGGTGCATCAGCAGGATGATGGGGTATCAGGACAGTTGATACGTGCTCCTGGTACAACAGCAGCGAGTGCTTGCTCTGTATTCCTGGTGTGTGTTGGACTCTCGCCCTCGCTGCCCCTTTGCTCTCTACCCTCTCCATCTTGGATTTCAGCATACTACTCTGTGCATAATTAACACATGACCGGCAAACACTCCTGGACCTCCGATTCTCCTTTTCACATCGCTTCGATCGATGCCGCCCCTCTACAGCCAGACGCCCCCACTGGCCCTCCCTGCCTTTCATCCTGTATAAGAAACGATACAGGAGACGTGGTAAAGGAGTGGCTTCCGTGTGCGTATGAAGGCTTACCTTGAAGCACGGGCTACGGTTTACCCATATGTCTCTGGGGACTTGCCACGCTCTTTCCCTGCTTGGCCACCGGTGGCTTTGCTCCGTCTCACAGCAAGTTTACCCAGCGCCTCCAGCGGCATGCCACCTAAATATAATAAGACTTATTCACGAATTTGCTGACCTTCTTGGTTCAGTTATTTTTAAATATGACTGTGTGCTTATTGTTGTGATTTTAACCTTAATATCTGCTGTAACGACCATCCGTTAGCCAAAGATTTCCCTGCATTAACGGACTCTTCTTATCCAGTGGGTTAACCAACCAACCCACGCCAGGGGCCACACCCTCGATCTGGTTTTCATATGGCTTGGACATTAGCATTAAGGATATAAGCAATGTTGGGATTTCTGATCACTTTCCTGTTATCTTTGATGTTCACGTCGCAAGGCACGTTGATAGTTTCCTCACCGACACTGTTGGTGACCTGGGGGTGTTTCTGGAAAGCTCTTTTAAATTCAACAGCTCCCAGCAGCTCCCTTTACTTCGGTCTTACCTCTACTCTCCTCCATAGACTGCAAACTCAGAACGCGGCTGCTCGTCTCCTCACGGGTGGTGGGCGGCGTGTCTCTATCAGCTCTGTCCTTGCCGACCTGCATTGGCTTCCCGTTAAGTATCGCATTCAATTCAAAATCCTGCTGCTCACCTTCTGAATCATTAACAATACAGCACCAAGCTGCCTCACTGAGCTACTCACACCCCCACTAGAGCACTAAGATCATCTTCCCAGCCACTCTCGGTGCTGCCGAGGTCTCGGCTGAAGACCAGAGGTGACCGAGCGTTTGCTCCCCATCGCTGTCAATCCTTCAAACCGCGGTTAAAACCCACTTATTTAGCCTCGCCTTCTCTACCAGGTAATGCTTGTTTGTTAGTTAGTTTAACTCTTATTTCTATCTTTGGTCCATTCTTAACTGCTTTTAATCATTTTAATTTTTTATCCTTTACACATATTGTTCTTTTATGCTTTTATATGCATTTCTGTGGCTTCTGTGTTTTTAATGCCATTTAACCTGCTACCATGTTGGTACTTTGCCACAGCTTCATCCTCCCTGTTACTGATCCTACTCTTTTGCATGTTAAACACTTTGGTGCACTACTGGTTTTTAAATGTGCTGTATAAATAAAGTTTGTTGTTGTTGTTGTTGTTTGCCTGGGCTGCTGTTTGTCACCTGTTTCTAGGCACAGCCACGGACTGGACGATCTCAGCGTCTCTGCTTGTTTGCAGATTATCAGGCTGTGAACCGAAGTTTGATTTGATTGTGAAGCAGTGGAAACGATAATCAGCACCCAGTCTGAGCCCATGGGTGGAGAGCCTGTTCTGGTTTGGGGAGTATCTCGGGGGTTTGTTCACAAGTGAGGGGAAACTGTCTCCACATGTTATTGTGTTTAGGTGGAGAAAGAGCCGAGCGTGAAAGTGAAGCCGTCACATTCAGTCTGTCCTCACACTCAGCGGTGACCCCGAGCTCTGGCTGATGAGTCGCTGCTCTTCCACAGGCGCGAGTTAAGCTGGGCGCACACTGCGCGTCGCGTTATTCAGCTCCTGCTCAAAGTAAACGATTGACTCGCAGGGGTTAGAAGGTCGTAGGTCACGATGCTCCGATGCGACCTGAGTCACACTGTGCGTCCATAACATGAAGCTTATAACACAACATCTGTCTCTCACTCACACAGACACACACACCACCATCAGTCTTTCCACGGTCGTTGTGGTCGTGATCCTTTTGTGAGGCCACATCAAAAAGGCTCGAATGAGCCAAAGCTCTACAAGTTGTGCCTCCGCTTGTGTCCCGATCACAGGCTGCACCGCTGCTCCGTGTTTTCACTTCCATCTCTGTGTTTGTGCGTGCGCAGTGTGAGAGGCTGCGGTGAACCATACGACTGATGATCGGGTGGTCGTGGGGTGTTAATCGCTTCTCGTTACCCCAGGTATACTACACGATGAAGTGAAACTCGGCCGATCCCCAAAACGACTGAAAAATCGTCTCAAAATGGGCCAAAACTCGCTCGGTGCATGGCCAGCATTAGAGAGGTCACATGGTGCCTCCTGGAGGAGGTGTTTTGAACATCTCCTACCAGAGGTCGTGAATCAGACCCAGAACCATCTGGACATCAAGTCTTTCAGCTGGTATCCATGGAGACGGACTCTGGTCTCTGCTGCAGCCGAGCAGGTGTTTGGTTGGTTCAGTCGTTGGTTTGCTCGCGGATGCGTTGTGCAGCCTGGCCCAAACTTCTCATTGACAGCAGTCTCAGCCTGAGCACAGTTTAGACATCACCAGGAAGTGCCACGACTTACACTTTGATGCAGCGCTGCAGACCGGAGCGACCTTCGTCTGGAAGCCTCACGGAGACGGTGTGAAAACTGATTGTTCATCGCTGCTGTAACTCGGATACACTGACCTGTCTGCTCTCTCTCCAGTCTACACCTTGTTCGCCTTCATCGAGTACCTGATGGTCTTCTCCAACATCGCCTTCCACTTTACGGCTTTCTGGGACTTTGGCAGCAAAGAGCTGATCGTGGCCACGCCGCTGATACGACACTGAGCTCCGCCCAGAGAGTTCTTCTTCTATCGTTGCTTTTAAACACCTGGGTTTAAAGGCTGTCAGTGCAGTGAGGCCTGCGTCCATCTTCTGTTTGCAAGCTGCTGGAGCGTTTTTAATGCGGTTATCTGAACAATCATACGGCTGCTGTGCGGCTAGTGCACCACCAGAAGAAGAAGTCTGAGCTCCAGCAAAACAAATAAAACCTTCAAAGTTTGTTAACTGTTATATATTACAAATGTTATAGCTGGGAGTCGTTGTCCTGTTACGTCAGCTTTTAAAACCTTTCCTTAAATGTTTCTTACATATTATTCTATTTTTCTGTTTACAGAGTTTTTCCTCCGTCACTGTGACACGCTGCTTTAAACATCTGTCTCTGTTTCTCTGATAAATTCATGTTCTGCTCCTTAATTAAACTGAAACACTGAACTGTTGGTTTATGGCTGCTCTTCATCTTTATTGTCCACTGACACACTGTGATAGAATACAATAGAACAGCCCTTTATTGTCATTGTACATGTACAACAAGCTTATGAGAGCTCCACGCCACTGTGCAGGAGTAAAAACAGAATATAAACACTAAAGACATCAGGAATAAACTGCAAACACGAGAGAGACGTAGAGTCAAGGGCAGACAAGAGGTGGGCGGGGTCACCTGTGATGGTTCACAGACAGGAGGAAGGAACTGGCGATGGCCTCCAGGGTTAGCAGTGATGTTTTGGGTGGTGTTAATGACCCTCTGTGCAGCCTTGCTGTTCTCAGTCGTGGCCACAGAGTACCAACAGCAGGCAGGAGGAGCACGCTCTCCACTGAGGAGAGGAGAAGGTCAGCAGCAGCTCCTGGTCCAGGTTCTTCTTCCTCAGGACACGGAGGAGGGGCAGCTGCTGCTAGGTCTTCTTTACCGGGTGATGGTGGTGTGGGTCCAGGTGAGATCAGCAGAGAAACCTGAAGGTGGAGACAGATTCAACCTGTTCTTCAGTTACAGTGAGAGGGAGTGGAGCTGTCTGTGCCTCCTGAAGTCCATTATCAGATGTTCATTTCATTTCATTTTCATTTATTTGTTCATTTCCAGGCACAACAAATACCTATATTGAACATAAAATGCACAAAACAAAAAACAAAAATTGCCTGAAAAAGGAGTGGGACGAAGAAAACTAATGTTCAGCTTCAGGTTACTTTCTGAGCGTCGGTGGGACATGTTCTCTACCTCCACCCTGTACGCCGTGTCATCTCCATCAGAGACGGGCCCAACCACGGTGGTGTCATCCTTATACTGGACGGAGACGTTGGGTGGGTGACAGCTGCAGGCGACAGGAAGACTTTTATTCTGAAGGACGTGGTTACCGGAAGTAGTAGTTTGTTGCCGTTACCGGAGCGTGTGTGTGTCCTCCGGTGAAATAACCGGTAAACTGTATTATAAACAGCGTAGAAAGTGTGCGCGTGACATTAAACGGGTGAGAGCAGCAGCCGTGTGGCGGGAAACGGACGCTGTTACAGGTGTGGAGCGGCGCTTCCGTCACAGTCACGGAAGTTGGCGGCTAACGTTGCTAGCTGCTGCGGTTAGCTGGGCTGACAGGATTAGCTCCGGGGCTGAGGACACCGGCGGGGGGCTCGATGGCAGCGAGGAGGAGCGAGCCCGGGGAGCCGTGAAGGTGAGTCTTGTCACCCGGCCTACCTGCTCACAGCCGCACGTCTGCCACGTCAGAGGACTGCGTCACCTGTACAGGTGAACAGGGACGTGTTCAGAGCGCAGACACGAGTAACGGGACCGAACTTTTTACGTAATGTTTCTGTGCTGTGGGTGAATTTCTCTGCAGAACAGCAAACAAACAGTTTTAAAATGTTCTCCGTGACCGACCTGTGCAGGTGACCTTTAACCCCCCGCTCGTCAGCACAGACACAGCTCAAAGTGTCGATGACCTGACCTGTGCTGCCTGGTTTAAACATGGTGAATATTCAGTTTTCAGTGCGCGGTGCAGAGCAGCTGGTGGATTATTCCCACAACCTCAGAGGCTCGTGTGTTTGAGGTGTCAGCGAACAGACAGCAGAAACCGCAGATAGCTCTTAAATGTTCAACCACAGCGGGAAAGCTCCTGGTGTGTTTACCTGTTTATGGCTCCACCCCCCCAGGATGCTCCAGGGGCCGTACAGCAGCCTGGACCGGGACCGGCTCCTCATCCGGCTGCCGTTCAAAAGCTTCGCCGTGGGGACGGTTCTGCTGCCGGTGACCGGCTTCATCGCCTGCATCTTCATCTCCCTCTGGTACCACTACGAGGACGCGACGTACACGCACTGTAAGGTGAGTGCTGATGGCGAAGGACACGTCAGCAGGAAGCTGCTGATTTATTGAAACCACAGCCAGCTGACGAGTCAAAATGTGCATTTCAGGCTCGCGCTGAACTTCTGGGTAAAGCATTACCTGGTGGCGGTGCGGTGATGACGCTCCCACGCCACACCTCAGCCTCAGGTGTCATCAGGACCCGCCCACCTGATTCACCTGAAGTCATTTTTCTTCCAGGTGTCCAACTACCTCCCGTCCATCAGCTCCGCCATCAGCGGTGTGCCGGAGCGCTACATCTGGCGCGGCTGCATCGGGCTCCACTCGGCGCCGCGGTACCTGGTGGCCTTCGCCTACTTCAGCTTCTACCGCAGCCGCTTCGCCAACAGGCTGCGGGAGCTGCTGCTGAGCGGGCTGGCGCTCCTCTGCAGCCTCGCCGAGAACACCGGCCTGGTGATGCTCACGTACGTGTCGTCCACGGAAACCTACAGTGAGTACGGCGCGGTCAGCTGACCCAGGTCCTCCAATCAGGAGTTAGCCCTTCAGACGTGCTGACGGCCGTTTGTCTCCACAGGTGTTCATAAGTACGGGTTCATCACGTTCATAGGGAGCTCGCTGGTGCACATGCTCACTACGTGCTGGCTGTGGTACGTCATCAAGAGACACTACGTGAGCCCAGAGGTAACCCGCCCTGTCAGCGTGCTGTGCGACCACAAACGTCAGTCGTTGTCTCGTTTAGTCGTAACAGATGAGCTTTAGTCCGCGCGGTTTCTCAGGCTCAGTGTTCGTTTCCTTTACCAGCTGTTTGAGGGAAACGTAATGAATTAGTTTAAAATGCCTTCAAAGCTTTCTGTAGACAAACTGCTCGATCAGTCGGTCGCGGCGAGTTCAGAGTCCTGATGTTACAAAGCTCTGTGAGAGGATCAGTCTGTAAATGTTTATGGGGGTTTGTTCAGGTCTTTGAAGAGTTCTTGTGGTACTTGAAGGCATCATGAGGGTTCCCATCGCGCTGCGAGTGTCCTCGCCCACGTCTGTGGAGGATTTCAGATCCTGACGGTGGTTCATGTTGTTCCTGTTGGGGTTCAGGTGACGCCGGGGCAGGTTTGTTTCTTCTAGGCATGATTGAGGGACTCAAACACTTCTGAGTCCTTGAGGAGGATTTTGGATTACTAGTAGGTCCTTCTGGTACTTTGTCATTATGGTGGTTAAGTGAATTTGTGAGGAGGATCGCATGATTCTGGTGGACGTTGTTGAGGACGAAGGATCAGGTTCTGTCTCTGCTTGAGGTGGTTCAGGAGGTGGTTTTGGTGCTGCTGGCGAGGCTCCACATGTACCTCAGAGCATCCCTGTTGTTGTTTCGAGGAGGATGTAAGGATACGCCCGTAGGCTCTGTGAGAACGTGATGTAGCTCTAGAAACACTAACACATGCCAGCTGTGGGCGTGGAGCTCTTTCAGGAGTGTTTGCTCCTCCGTTCTGAGGTTCTGTGCAGGTTTGGAGGCCTTCTTTGTTCCAGGAGTCCTAGAAGATCTGGGGTTGGTCCTGTCAGCACCTGAGGCAGTTCTAGGAGTGAGTCCTCCTGCAGCCAGTCCCGACTTTAGTGAACCTGCGGAGATGTGCTTGTAAGGCTTATTATGGTCTGCAGAACCTTCTAGCATTGCTTCTGTTTTGGTCGCCCGTGCTGGTGACCTCTGTGTGCATGAAGGGCTTTGTAGCGTCTTGTTGCCTGTTGGTGCTCAGGGAGAGTTTGGGATACTTGGTGGGTTCCTTCGGTTCTCGCGGTGGTTCTGTGGTTCCTCGGGAGCTTCAGGGCTCTGCAGGACAGTTTGGTGTCAGACAGTAACGTCCACCTCTGGTCACATGGAGCCAGTTTGCCTCTTTGTCTTTCATTTCTTTGGTAGTTTTCCATAAATCTGATGTTGATTTTGCTCTCTGTCCGTCTCAGGAAGTGACATCATATCGCTGGAAGCTGCGTCTCTTCCTGTTCAACATCAGCTGCTGTGTGATTGCCTTCTACTTCTTCAGACGCCACAACAAATATTGTGAAGCAGGAAGTAAGTGCCGCTCTGCTCTGTGCTGCTGCTCTCCGTGTCTCACGCCGTCTCCGTGTCTCACGCCGTCTCCGTGTCTCACGCCGTCTCCGTGTCTCCTCCAGTCTACTCCCTGTTCGCCGCCTTCGAGTACCTGGTGGTCTTCTCCAACATGGCCTTCCACATGACGGCCTTCTGGGACTTCGGGAGCAAAGAGGTGACCGTGGCCACGCCGCCGGAGGACAAACGATACTGAGCAGGAGGGGGCGCGGCGTTTCTACCATTTCTGAACTCAAGCGCAGAGAGAGGAGTCTGATGACATCATTCCAACGACACCCTGACCTTCGGACGGCGTGATGGAGACGTGGACCAGAGTTCTTCTTCTGTTGTCGTTTCTCTAGTGCGCCTGTGTCTTTGAATCGTCAGAAATGATGCGTATTGATGTCATTGATGATCAGCCCGCTGTGATGATGTCACACTTGTTTGTTTACAGAAACAGCTGATCAGGGTTTTAATGGTTTTATTTCCACACAGGTGAAAACCATCAGAGACAAAATAAATGTGATGATGATGATTTCATGGTGGTGTTCTTCATCCTCGTCACCTGACGTGTTTAGTTTATAAAAACAAGAAAAGCTTTTCTAAAGTGGACGATGAATAAACGCTGAAGGAGAAAGTGTTGGAAATGTAAAGAAATAAAATGAACCTTTGAGTAAAGAACAAAATGTTTTGACAGAAATCAGAGGCTGAGACGGTCTGAGCATGTGCAGAGGATGGAGGCGGAGCTGCCGGGCAGGGGGAGGTCCTCAGAGGAGGTTCATGGCTGCAGTGTTTGTATCTTAAACAATCCTGCAGCACACAGGAATCGTTTTAGTTCCACAGGACGTGAAACGCTGCGCGCTAACTAGTGACAGAATCACTGAGAGGAAAACACTGACACAACCTCACTGTGTGTCATGATCAAAGTGCTTCCTGATGAGTCCAGGCTCCTGTGACCCCTGGAAGGACAGAGGTCATCGCGCCACGTCACACTGGTTATAATACATTCTTCTCTCATAAATGGACACAGTGGAGTGGACAGCTCACCGCTGCAGCTCTGCAGTGAGCCTCTCACACTGTTTAGTTTCACTGTCATTTTCCTCTGAGGTATCGATTCTGTCACTAGTTAGCCTGAGTCTGTTAGCCACAACCAACCAATCACATGTTCACGTTTGACAGATGGATCTATGAACATGTTTTAAAGCTTTATGCACTGATTTGTTAAACCCAGCTTCACAGACAGTTACAGCTGTGTCAGTGAGGGACATTAGCCTTTGTGTTCAGCGTTTCATGTCCCCTTTAATATAGTAGATGTTTATTTAACCATAGTTGTTCCGTTCTCTAAATCATTTTAATCCAATCCCTAAAATATTCCCCAAAACCAAATTGTTGTAGAGTCTCAAATATATAAGACCAATCTGATCAAACGCTTTCTGGGCATCCAGAGAAAGTACTGCTGTTTTAGCCTCTTTTCCATAACCTGATTAAATTGTATTTAATAATAAACGGACATTATTAAATGACCATCTACCAGGAATAAATCCTGTTTGATTAGGACGTATAATTGTTGAAACATGTTTGCTCAATCTTGTAGCTGAGGCTTTGGTTAGGATTTTATGATCACAATTTAAAAGAGCAATGTGTCTATAATGTGCTGGTCGTAAAGTGAAGTAACCTTTTATTTTTAGTCATTTACCATCCTAAGCATGAGAGGAGTAATTTTATTTTGGAAGGCTTTAAAGAATTCATTACCGAATCCATCGGGGCCAGCTGTCTGTGGTAAGGCTTGGATTGTTCCTAAAAGATGGTTTTCAGAGACAGGGAATCGATTTCATCTCTCAGGGCTTCATCTGATGGGGAATAGATAATAGATCGAAGAAGTTGCTAAAATCGCTTTGAGAGGATTTAATTTTCCTAGAATACAGATCTTTATAGAATTTGGTAAAACAAGTATTAATTTCCTTTGGATTGGTACTTACGGATTTCATTATCACTTTTTGACTTGCTCGTTTTGCTTGTTCCCCTTCCAGTTCAGGAAGCTTATTTCCTTTTTCCCAATATTTTTTTCTTGGGAGATTCAAAGGAAATAATGTGACCTCTCATCACGACTTTAAGGTCTCCCATAAAGTAGAATCCAAAACTTCTCCGTTATCATTATTTATCATTATTTTTAAGACCACTGAAGCCGGGCTGTGATCAGACATTACAATATTATGGTCATTTGAATCAACAACTATGGGCAGCGGCTCCGAGGATATCAGAAAATAGTCAATTCTAGCGTAGGTTTTATGGACATGAGAGAAAAATGAATAGGCCCTCTCAGTAGGATGTTGTAAGCACCAGATATCAAGTAAATCATTCAGAGTTTGTACTGACCTAATATTAGAGGGGCTTTTATAGATAGTCTATCCAAAAAAGTGTCGAGAAAGCAGCTAAAGTCACCAAAAGTCTGAACCAAATGAAAATTCTTTTTAAGGAGAAGCACAACCTCTGGCCTTGCTGGTAAAAGGAGCCTGATACACTTGAGATATCCAATTTGCTCTTAATCTTCGTTGGTTGTTAATATTTATATGAGTCTCCTGAAGGAATATTATGTCTGCTTTGAGTGATTTAAGGTGTGAGAGAACTTTACGTCTTAATTATATGTCCGAGACATTTTACATTCCAAGAAACTATTTTTACATCGTTTCCCTCAAAGCTCACCTCATTGATTAACCCAAACATCATGTGTCAACTCGATCAGATATCGACTGCCATCCGCGTACACACACA